AGCAGGCCCTGCCTCGTCCTGACAAGACAAACCAGTCTCTGGAATTCTTCATGGAGAGGAAGGGAGGAAGCAAGCTGCATTTTTTCCCTACCTCGTCTTTAAAAATGAAATTTCAAATAAACATTGAGGAAAAAATCCTCAGCTCGGCTTGAGGGAGAAAACGCATCCTCTCGGCCTTGAGACAAGAAAACTGGCGGGCTTCCCTCAGGTCTCCCCACCTCCGGGCTCTTCCCCTCCCCTGCGGGCACTGACCAACCAGGGCAGAGGGGCAGGCCTGGCACAACGCCCACCACAGGGCTCACAGCCGAGTGGGGCGGAGGGAGGGCGCTCGGAGCTGGCAGGGGCTCAGAACCATCAGGCCAAGACCCCTTTCACAGACAGGAAACACTGAGGCCCAGAAAGCCAGGGGCTCACCTGCTGGTCTGAGCAGAGGCTTAAAGCCACATCGGATGACCCCAAACTCCACCGAACTGAGGCAGAAAGGGCACCCTGTGCTCTCCCAGGCCCACCCACGCTCAGCACCTGGCAGGTGCCCAGCATGGCCGAGGAGGTGTGGACCGTCTCAAGGCTGCCTGCAGAGGCACATAGGCTTCTGCTGAGCCCTGCAGGGAGCTGGGAGCCGGCCTTGAGCCAGGCAGTGGGGACAGACAGAGCCCCTTCTCAAGAGCTCACAGCCGACACACATAGTCACTGACAACGGCCATGCCCTGCAGGGCATGCCAGCCAGCAAAGGAAGCCAAGGCCCAGCTGGGAGATCAGGGAGGCTTCCTGGAGGAGGAACCTCATGTGACAAGTCTTGAAAGAGCCCCAGGAAGACGGGGCAAAGGCTGGGCAGACCATGAGGTCTGTGCCAAGGCCCAGGGCCCACACAAGGTCGTGACAAATGGCCTCACGGCTTGGAGGGAAGGGCTGAAGAGCTGTCTGCAAGGGCCCGGTAGATGTTGGCAGACTGGGAGGTGAGACAGAACCCAGCCTCATTCCCAGAAAGGCCTGCAGTGGGGCCCCAGAAATACATTCCCGCCGCAGCCTGGGAGGGTGAGCAAGGCCTTGGGTACCTGTGCACATGTATCTGTGTGCATCCACACACGTGAACCCATGTGTGCATGTGCATGATTGGGTGTGTGTATGGAGACAGGTATGTGCAGAGATGTGCACACACATGTGTGTACATGTCCATTTGTATGTGCATGGATACATTGTATGCCCAAGCATGGGTATGCATGCACATATTTATGCACAGCATGTGAACATAACTGTGTGCACAGTGTGTTGTGTGTGCATATGTATGGATATATGTGCACCCTCTATATGTGCATGTTAGTGTGCACATATATATGTGTATGCATGTGCAGAGTGCAAGGACAGGTGCAATACATGGGCATGTATGCACGTGTGTGAACATGTGTATGTGTATACATGTGTATACACTATCTGCATGCATCCATAAGTGTGTGGATGCACTGTATAACAGATATGGTATGTGTGTACAATGTGTGCATACATAGCATGTGTGGATGGGTTCATACACTGTATGTATGTGTGCATATGATTGCAAAAACATACATCTGTGCATGAACAGCTGTGTGTGCATGCACACAGACATGTGGATAGGTGTATGTGTATGGATGTTTGTGCTTGCATGTACATAGATGTGCACCCAGGTACTGTGGGTACATATGCATGTGGACACTGTGCATGTGTGTGCAGGGAGGTCACTGAAGGAGACAGACAAGCTCCTCTCATCCCGAGCTGAGGCTGCTCGTGAAGCTGAGTGCCCCATCCCAGGCATGCACCCAGAGGAGTGCACCCAAACCCCTTCTCATGGGTAGCCCACCAGCTCTCTCTGGCAGAGCAGCCAGGAACCAGTACCTAGCGCCCCATGGCTGCATGGTCCTGCCTGGACCACCCTGCCCTCTGGGCCTCGCTTATCATGGACGAGAAAGTGCAAGTGCACCTCCGCAGCCCCAGGATGCTCCTCCCCAAGTGGTTTTCCTTCTGAAATGTATCCACACTGTCCCCAATGTGCCTCCACGAGCGTGTGTACACACACTGCCCCCATGGCCCCATCACTGTAGCCTGACTCCCTGTAGCGCCCTCTGCATCACCCCTCCTGGTCATGCCCAGCCTGGGCCTGGACACCAGCCACTCGTGGGGACAGGCAGTCTTTCTGGGCGCACACTGTTCTGCTTGTTACTGGACAATCTGGAGTGGTCTGCCAAGTCTAGAGTAAGAGACCTCTCCAGCTCCCTTGCGAATCGCTGCAATCCCTGGGATCTCCAGGGGCCTGTGTAGGGTACAGTCCCTAAGCACAGTCCAGACACCGCTGTTGCTAAGGACCAGGACGCCCAGCTCACCTCGCTGCCTGGCTTCATGTCCGGAAGTTGACCCTTCTGCCCCTCCCAGGTTATGCCAGGTGTTGCCAGAGGCACCATGTCAACATGCTGGCTGTCATCCCCAAGGGCCCGGGCCACTCACAGGCCAGGCCCTCCAGATGCCCTCTCCTGGCCTGAGAGCTGCTCCTGGTCAGTGGTATGGCTTGTCCAGCTCAGGGCCCCAGGCACTCTGTCCCTTTTTTCCTCCAAATTCGAGTGCCTAAGCTGCAGTCGCTGTGAACATGTGAGACTGTCAATGGAGCCAGGATCCTGGATGGATGGTCCCCACACCCGTGCATCCCCCAGAGCACTTCTCGCAAGATGACAGCCCCTTCAGGTGTGGGGGAGGCCCACGTGGCTGGCAGCTGCTGGGGGAGAAAGAGCTTCCAAACCTGCATCTGACCATCTGAGCAACACCACTGCCCTGGCCCCACACACCTCCAGGACAAAGCCCACCCTATCCTGGGGAGCACGGCCTACTGGGCCTCTCCTCTCCTCATAACTCCTCCTCATTCTCCGAGCACAGCTTGGTCACCTCCTCTGGGAAGCCTTCTTTGACAACTCCAATTGAAGGAAGAACCCCTGAGCACGGAGTGCCGTCGGTGCACACATCTCAGTGGGTGGCACTGCCTGCCCCAGACCATGAGTGCCTCCAGGCCAGGCCCCTCTCTCTCTGCACACAGCAGAGGGCCCAATAGAGACAAGGGTCTTCCCTGCAAAGTGCACCCGCAGGTGCAAGTGATCCCTGGCACCTTTTGGGCCTCCAGGACCAGGAGGGCCTTTAGCAAGGATGGCAAATGCCCAACCTCTCTGGGTCACACACCTCTCCCATGACAGCCATGGCCTCTGCTCCCCCAAGGGCACCCTTACTGGGCAGACCCATTATCTAGAATGTTTGGTTTCTGCCTAGTCCTGGCTCAATCCCCCCTGCACCCCCATAGCCTCTGCTGGTGACAAATGGGGTGCACAAGGAGGCTCCGCTGCACAGCGGCGTCTGCTGGGACGGCAGCACTCCTCTTGTAAGGCTGCCCAGCCTGAGAGAATGTTCTAGGCTCAGGAGTTCAAAAAGAAGCTGCCCCAAACCATGGACATTTCTAGGCATCACCGGTGGGGGCACAGAGTTGCTCCAACCCTTAGGAGATGACCTTCTTGGCACCTAGGAACCATCTCCCAGAGCTTCCCCCTCTCTCTGCCGTTGGCCCCAGTTGGGGTGTGTTTCTGAATTGCAGGAAGGAAGGGGATCACCCCTTTAGTCCCAGCAGAGAAGTGTCAGACCTGGGAACTCCAACTTTCCCGCTTGGGCCACCTCCTCCCCAGGCATCTGTCTCACCCGCCTCCCCTAGGCGTCTGTCTCAGGCGGCCCGGAGGCGGACACCAGCACCCAACATGGGCCGAGAGTGACAGTGCGCATCTGCGGAATGGATGCACAGGGACGCAAGGCAGGGGAAGCGGGGTGACCTCTATAGCTGCTCTCCTGAGCCCACCCACACAAAACAGCCACTCATCCATGCAGTTCAGTCTGGGTGTCTGTCGGAGGTGGTAATTTTGAACAGCCCTCCATCCTTTAAAAGCAGGGCCTCAGCGCATAAGAATTAAACTTCAATAACTGCCAACATGGGCGCAGAGCTTGGGAGCCTGCCCAGGGCTTCCACAGGCACCGCCGTTATGATTCATGCTCCAGCAGCGCTGGGGAGGGGGCAGAGGAGGGAACTGAGGCCGGCGTACGTGGGGAGAAGGCTCTGCCGGGGAGCACCGACCGGGATTTGAGCCTGACCCCACGCTCAGCAGGACCAGCGAGCACCTGGGCAGTGTCGCGCCCTCCCCAGACCGCTACAGGCTGGCTCTCCAATCAGGCAGTGGACCCCGAACCGGCCAGGGCCGCGCGCGCCTGTGCGCGCCACTGCGCGTATCCCGTGCCAGGGGAGGTGAAGGAGGCTCCAGTCTTAGAAAGAGCAGGCTCTGGAACTCACCGCCCAGGCCCGCCAGCGCCCAGCCCCGTCCCGCAAGCTGCAGAGGGCCCTGGAGGGGGCGCCCTCGCCGAGCCACCACGGCCTCCTCCCCGAGCCGCGCCTGCAGGTTCGCCGAGGCGTCCACGGGCTCCGACTCCCAGCCAGCTCCCCGAGGGCGGGCGGGCGGCGCGGGCCTGCCCTGCGCCCCGCCCCGCCCCGCGCGCCCTCCCCGCTGCGCAACTCGACCCAAGTTGGCAGCCCAGCCCCGCGGCGGCGGCACTCGCGCCCAGCGCAGGGCGGAGGGGGCGGCGGCGGCGCGGCACCGGCGAGCGAAGCAGGCGCGGCTGGCGAGGCGGCGCCCGTGCGGGAGCCCTGGGAGGAGGACTCGCGGCGGCGCCAGCGCCCGGCCCGGGAAAGTAAAGTTGGAGCCGCAGGGTGTGCGCGGGCGCGGGGGCCCAGAGGAGCGGCGGCCGGAGCCCCGGCGCGCGGAGTCCTAGCCGGCCGGATGGGAGGCGGAGCGCCCGGGCGCGCCGCCGCCCGCAGCCTGCGCCCGAGCCGGGCGCTGGGGCCGCGGGGCCGCTCTGGCACCACCCGCTCCGGCGCCGCGGCGCCGTGGGCTCGCGGCCGGGGCGCTCCCCGTGAGCGGGGCCGAGGGCGGGGCCGCGCGAGGACCCCGGGACCTGCCCCCTCCCCCCGCCGCCGCGTCGCCGCTCGCTCCGGGCGCCTCCTGCTCTGCACTTACGCGCTCGGCAGCTGCGGGGAGCCCGGCAGCCAAGCTCTCCGGCGCGCCGCCCGCCGAGCCACCACGGCCGAGGGCCGGCTGTGGGGCGCCGTGGTCCCTGGCGGGCGCGCCCAAAGAGCAGGCGGCGATGCGGGCGCCGACCCGGGCTGCGGGGCGCCCAAGCTGCCGCGGCTGCGCCCCGGTTCCAGGAGGGACCGCGTAGCTCGCGGGAGGACCATGGCGTCCCCGGCGCTGGCGGCGGCGCTGGCGGCGGCTGCGGCGGCGGCGGGCCCCAATGTGAGCGGCGCCGGCGAGGGGGGCAGCGGCGGGGGCGCCAACGCCTCAGGGGCTACCTGGGGGCCGCCGCCCGGCCAGTACTCGGCGGGCGCCGTGGCGGGGCTGGCGGCCGTGGTGGGCTTCCTCATCGTCTTCACCGTGGTGGGCAACGTGCTGGTGGTGATTGCCGTGCTGACTAGCCGGGCGCTGCGCGCGCCACAGAACCTCTTCTTGGTGTCGCTGGCCTCGGCTGACATCCTGGTGGCCACACTGGTCATGCCCTTCTCGCTGGCCAACGAGCTCATGGCCTACTGGTACTTTGGGCAGGTGTGGTGCGGTGTGTACCTGGCGCTCGATGTGCTCTTCTGCACCTCGTCCATCGTGCACCTGTGCGCCATCAGCCTGGACCGCTACTGGTCTGTGACGCAGGCCGTCGAGTACAACCTGAAGCGCACGCCGCGCCGCGTCAAGGCCACCATCGTGGCAGTGTGGCTCATCTCGGCGGTCATCTCCTTCCCGCCGCTCGTCTCGCTCTACCGCCAGCCCGACGGCGCCGCCTATCCGCAGTGCGGCCTCAACGACGAGACCTGGTACATCCTGTCCTCCTGCATCGGCTCCTTCTTCGCGCCCTGCCTCATCATGGGCCTGGTCTACGCGCGCATCTACCGTGTGGCCAAGCTGCGCACGCGCACGCTCAGCGAGAAGCGCGCTCCCGCGGGCCCCGACGGCGCGTCTCCGACCACGGAGAACGGGCTGGGCGCGGCGACGGGCGCGGGCGAGAACGGGCACTGCGCGCCCCCGCGCGCCGACGTGGAGCCGGACGAAAGCAGCCGCGGCGCGAGAGCGGCGGCGCCGGGCGCGCTGCGGCGGGCGCGCGGCGGCGCGCGGCGCCGAGGGGGCGCGGGCGGCGCCGACGGGCCGGGACCGGGGCCAGCGGCAGGGGCAACCGAGCCGGGGGCGCTGGCGGCCGCCAGGTCCCCGGGGCCGGGTGGGCGCCTGTCGCGCGCCAGCTCGCGCTCCGTCGAGTTCTTCCTGTCGCGCCGGCGCCGGGCGCGCAGCAGCGTGTGCCGCCGCAAGGTGGCCCAGGCGCGCGAGAAGCGCTTCACCTTCGTGCTGGCCGTGGTCATGGGTGTGTTCGTGCTCTGCTGGTTCCCCTTCTTCTTCAGCTACAGCCTGTACGGCATCTGCCGCGAGGCCTGCCAGGTGCCTGGCCCGCTCTTCAAGTTCTTCTTCTGGATCGGCTACTGCAACAGTTCGCTCAACCCGGTCATCTACACCGTCTTCAACCAGGACTTCCGGCGCTCCTTCAAGCACATCCTCTTCCGACGGAGGAGAAGGGGCTTTAGGCAGTGACCTGTGCCCCCTCGCCCAGCGATCCTGGCCGCTCCAAGCAGTGGTTGGGCGGAGCAGGTGGCAGGCAGAGCAGCTTACCCAGAGACCCTGGATGGATTGGCCTCCGGGGACAGGAGAAGATGTGGCCTGGCCGAGAGACATCTGGGCTTCCCGGGAGGGGGTAGGAGAAAGGGGGACAGACCCCTTTGCCTTCCCGCCTCAGCAAGGGGCTGCTTCTAGGGCTCCAGCCTGGATCCAGCCCTGGGCCCAGCGGAGGTGTGGCTGTGAGGTCAGGCTGTTAGACTGCAGTGGTGGTCGCAGCCCCCCAAGTGGGTAAGAAAGGAGCCTCCCCCGACAGGCACCACCACCCCGCACCATCTGAGCAAGGGCTGACTTCCCCAGGACCTGTCAGGGTGGCTGTCTGGGGGCAGGGAGAAAGAGGGCACTTACAGGCTTTGATTACTGAAAGTATTTCAGTGTTTGCCAAAAACGACAGCCAAAACAACCAAACTATTTTCTAAATAAACCTTTGTAATCTACTGTTGGGTGCAGCAGTCAGTCCTTAAGCCTGGGAGTGGGGGTACCTTCCAGACCCTCACCCTGCCTATCCCCCACCCCCACCCCAGGGCCAGACAGAGGGCCTCCAGGTCCGAGCTGCCCTCTTGCATGAGAAGGAGGTCTTTTTTGTTAAAGCTAAATGCTTTATATACGTGTGGAATATATATTCAAAATTCTTGTGCTGTAAGTGGCTAAGAGGCAAAAAGAATCTAGAACACCCAAGCTGACTCCAACTTTAGATCCTGGAGGGCTGTCCTCCTTGCATTCCCATCCTGTCCCTCCCCCTGGCCTCCAGAGCCAGGGTGGGGGGCTCCCAGTGGCCTTGGGCCAGTCCTCTGGGCTCTGCACGGCTTGTGTGTGGAGATGGGGTGGGATGAGGCCAAGGCAAGCCCCACACCGTTATTCCAGACTAGAGGCCTTGGCCTGCCCAGCTGGCCACAGTGAGGTTGAACAGCCCCCAGTTTCTTGCTTCTAAACTACACTGGGGAGGTTGTTGAGGCCCGAATGCCATAGGCATGGGAAAGCCTTCAGTGGCAAGGAGGGGCCTGGAGGCTGCCTGCTCCCCCAGCACCCTCAGGGGCTCCCCCCAGCCCTCACCCCCAGCCGAGTGTGCACGCTCGGCCCACACTGAGGTTTGAGGAGGGGTGACTGGAAGGGGAGCACAACAGTGAAGTAGGCCAGGACCCCACAGACTTCTAGTCCCTGCTGCAGAGCCGGGAAGCTCCTGGGACGGGGTGAGGGACCACAACAGGACCAGGTGTAGCAAGGGCGAGGTGGAGCCCCCAACACACAGACATGTTTGAGCTCAGTGGGCTGGAGGGGGCTCCCTATTGGAGAAATCCAGACCTCCCCACTCCGGGGCTTCCCTGGGTGTCCCCTTCCCCTCCCAGGCCCTGCCTGCCCAGCCCAGCCCAGCCCGATGACTTCTGGATCTGCACCTATCTCTCCTTGGCCTGGGTGGCCCAGGGTCCGTCCTGAGGAGGGCTCAGCCCTGGGTCCTGCCTTTCTTCCCCAAGCCACTGTCCCCCAAGTCTGGCACCAGAACAGGCCTCTTTCTGGTCTGACTTGCCGGGGCTGTTCCTTAGAGAAGCCCCCCCGCCCCCGTAGCTGCCTGGCTGCATCGCCCCAAGCTATGGATCCTCGGGGTACCCCAACTGGGAAGAGCTATCCAGCCTGGCTCATGGTGGCACTCACACCTGCCGTGTGCTAGGCTCAGACTCAGGTGGGGGAAACTGAGATCAGGGTGGGAAGCGGAGGGGGTGATGGGGTGGAAATGGCCAGCTAAGGCAGAGCAGGACACCCCTGAGCTCCCATCAACAGGCCCAGGCAGAGTCCATAGTCATCAGCCCAGCTCGGCATATGACTGTGGCGCTGGCTCGGACACACGCCTGCTCTCTCGGGGCCTCGGGGCCCCGCCTGTGAAGTGGGGGGTTGCTGGAAGCTCTCTCAGGCCCTGCCAGGCCTGCCAGGGTGTGGTCCAATCTTACAGCGGAATCAGGGGCCACAGGGGCGACCTTGCCTAGGAGATTGCATGGCCTGGCACCCCTGCAAAGCCAGAGGTGCTGGGGAAGCTCCGAGGGTAGCCTCAGGGCCACACGTGGTCACCGCAGCCTTACAAAGAAAATCTCCAGACCCCAGAATTTTCACTCCAGAATCTGCCTCTTATCAAGCTTGAAGGATGGGCCCAGAACTCCAAAACTGCTGGCAGGATGAGAGGGCAGCCCCCCGACCCGCCACCAGCACGCAGGCCCCCCAGCCCATCCCAGGCCACCTTGCCTTGACAGGAACAACATGTTGGGGCCCATTTTGGAGTACTGTTACTAGTGCATTTCTTGTGGCAATTGCCACATTTCCTGGGACTCGGGGAGGTGACCAAACCTGTCTGAGGTCACACGGCTGGTAATAAGAGCCTGGGCTGCTCCAAATTCAGCCACAAAATAATAAGTATTTATTGAGCATGATCCCACCACCCCCAACTGCCTCTCAGGAGGTCATCGGGACCGGCAGCTTCCGCAGGCTGAGGAGTGGGCCCAGGCGGGGCTCCAGCAGGCGTCCGGAGGGCGGAAGGTGCGAGCTTTAGGGAATGCGGTGCCAGAGCAGGGGAGGGGGAGACAGGCACAGGCAGGAGGCTGAGCAGAGGGGCCTGGAGAACCACCCTGTCCAGCTCAGGGCCACCCCCTTGTCCGAGCAGGGGACAGGTGTCTGGTCAGTGTCAGGTTTTTTGAGCCCCAGGGGCTGTGAGATGTGCAGAGGAAACGCAGCCCCCAGGGGCAGCCACCTCTGGTCTGCAGGCCCCTCCAGGGCTCCTGGGGGCTTAACCCCAAGGGAGCAGCAGGGCTCTTGAGGAACATCAGCAGACCTGACTCCTTTTCCTTTCCTAATTCCAGAATTCACCTTCCAGGGTTGTCGCCGGAGCTTCAGCCGACAGCTGGTCGCCACTCGATCATCACTGCTGCCTGGAGAGACTTTCTTTTCAGCTGGGTAAACAGAGACAGAAGCCCGGCTTCTCACCCTGCCTGCGCAGGGACGCGCTCGTCAGTGGGAAGAGAAGGTGCTGACGTCTGCCCGAGGGTGCGTGAGCCGCGGCCCCACACGCTGGGCCTGGGACCATCTGCCGGGGGACGTCTCTAGGGTACAGAGCAGGCCCCAGCACGCTGTCCACCTGGCCCCCACAGGCCCGCCCATCCCCGAGGAGGCCGCCCTCACAGACTAGGCCTTGGCCTGTTTTGTCTCTCCACGCCAACCTCACGGAGCCAGAGACGTTTGTTGTCAACCCCTGTCTATGGTTGAGGAAACTGAGGCCCGGGGTGGCTGTGTGGCCCAGACCCCCAGCTGTGAGCCCAGGAAGGTCCAGCGGCAGAGCTGGGCTCTGAGCCCAGCCCTCCATGTACCCTTGGAGTTAGTCCCCCAAGAGCCAGTGTCATGGGTTACATGGGACATCCCTGGGCCTCGCCACGGGCAGTGTCCGGCACAGCCGCTGCCCTGCTCGGGGCTTCCCCTCCGGCTCCTGGAGACTTCCGGCAAAATGAAGTGCAGCAACCTCGGGAGCCGCGGGAGGCCTGGCCCGCCACGTGAGGGCACGCCGGCTTGCCCGCCGTCCTTCTCGGGCTTGCGTGTACCTGGCCCCGGCGTGTTGCCGATGCGGTTCCTGCCACATATATGTAGACGTACGTATGTTTAAATTAGCTCCTGCATTTTAATTCAGTTGCTGAGTTTCTACAGAGAATGGGGAAAAGGATTAATCCAAATATTCTGTTGCAGCTCAGTATGGAATTCAAGAGGAAATATTCCTCAGAGCAGCAGAAATGTTCACGCTTTATGGAAGCCGCTCCAATCTGTGGGTCCTGCCCCCGGCTCCGGGGGTGGGGGCTGCGGGTGGGGAACACGTTGCCGTGGCACTTGCTGGCGAGGAAGCCGCCCCTCCCGCTGTGCTGGCAGCCGGCTGTATTTTTATATCGCATCCATCAGCGGGGCTCACATACTCCAGTGCAGCGTCGGATCAAAACATGCGGCGCCTGCAGGCTCGTCTTGAGTCTGGTTGGACTGCCACGGCCCTTGCCGAGCCAAGTCCCCACCTCTCGTCAGCACTGTGGCCCCCACGTGCAGGGGGTAGGGGCAGAGGAGCGCCAGGGGCACCTGTTCCCTCATCAGCCTGGAGCCTCCCAGGCGGGGATGGGCGTCTCTACCTGCCTCGGCACCTGAGGGTATTAGGTGGCGTGGGGCAGAGGCCAGAGGAATAGAGGAGGCGAGAGGGAGGTCTCCCATCCCGAGGTTCCCGTATCCCTACTCTGGGTCTGCCGTCAGTGGTCTGGGGACCTCGGGCCCCCCGCACACACCCCCATCCTGAGGGTCTGTTGCGAGCATCGGGTGCTGCAGGGGTGGAGGAGGAAGGCAGACCTGTCCAGTCTGCGTGGGAGGGTCCACCCCCTGTGTGACCGAGAGTGTAAATGGACCACACATTCTTTCCTGGCTGGGACCGGCGGGGTGTGAAAGGGCCCCACTGCAGCAGGGCACAGCGCCATCCCTCTGAAATCTGCCTGGGAAGCAGAGGCAACTGCAAACTCTGGGCCAAAAGAAGGCCTTGGGGACCAGAAATGTATTTCTTTCCTGCCAAGAGGATTTTCACTGCTCCCAATAAAAGCCTCAGGTGCAAAGGATCATTATGGTCACGATAAGAATTGCCATGCAAGGCAGAGTGGGAGCACTGGCCCAGAAGGCCGGGTTAAAGGTGCCCTGCCCTCGTGTCAGCACAAAATGTGCCAGAGCTGCCTGGCAGCCATGGAGAAAAAGGAAACAAGACACAGACTCTCTCTCACTCCTGATGCAAGGTTAACAGGAAAACCTTTAGAGCACGGGGTGGGCAGCTGGAGCCACCAGAAAGACCACCAATCCCACAGGCCTCCACAGCAGGGGGACTCTATCTCCAGGGGAGGGCTTTATAGACCAGAGAGCCCCAGAGGGGCATTCATAACACAGACCCTGTTGGGGTGGGGAAGTGGCCAAACACGGTGGTTCAGGTCCAGCCCCTGCCGCCAACTGTACCAGATTGGGCCATTTATCATTCATTGAGCAACACTCCCCTCAGTGCCCCCCACCAGGCCCTGGCTCTGAGCTGGGGAGGCTGCGGACGGTGGGGGGGACACAGCCAGTGTGTGCGACTGTGGCCCCGCTGTGCTGCCCCCGGCCTGCCCACCCTGGTGTAGAATGAGCCTTTGGGGTCACAAAGCCTCCCGCCATAAGGCCCCTTGACCCAGGAGAAGCCCCCCACCCTCCTAGGGGCTCCCGGATGTGTCCTGATCAGCCCTGCCCCCTGCCCTCCCATGTCATGCTCTGGCTCGGCCATGCCCCATGCCTTTGCCAATTCATGCTCTGCCCAGCGCCAGGAATGCCCCTTTCACCTGTGTTCACCTGACCAGGTCTCACCTCCAGAAAGCCGTGTGGAGCCTCCAACCCTGCCCTCCCCCGCCATGGGTCCCCAAGTCTGGGGGAGGCCCTGTCCCATCTACCCATGGGGGCCCAGCGGGGGCACAGGGACAATGTGTCATCTTGGCCAGGCAGCAGCCTTCCTCCGGGTGCAGAGCCACCTACCATCTCCCACAAGCAGCCCCCAAAGGATCATCCGGGACCTCCACACCCAAGAGCCACACTTGCCGCACCCACTGTGCTGGGACCTTGGACCCCAGGCTGGGCAGGGGGCTGAAGGGGACGCCCCCCTGGCCTCCCAGGCTGTTGGTGATAAACTCCGAGCAGCCAGAGGCCAGAGCGCTGGCGGCTCCCCGCTCGGCCCGGCTCGGCCCTGGCGCTGCGGGGGATTTTCCACTGCACGTGCGGCCGCTGCCGAGCCGTATGCTCAGATCTCGGTGGGCGGGATTTTCCCCCGTTTAATCAGCTCTCAGCTATGCAGCATCTAGGAGGACAGAAGCAGCTCCACGCGCCTTCAGGAGAGAAGCCGGGCTCCCCAGGGACAACTGGGGAGAGAGAAACTGGAGGGGTCGCCTAGTTCCACAGCCCCTCCCCACTTCACAGAGAGGGCCAGAAAAGACAATGGCAAAGAGAGGTGATAAAGCACAGGGGTGACTGGTCACCGCAGCTTTGTTGGCTGTGGGCCCGGCGTTGGTGGTTGCCGGGTAGGAGCCACGAGCCCGTTTTACAGACGAGAAGACCGAACTCTGTCTGGAGAGGGAGCGACAGGCAGAGCTGCCGTCTCAGAGCTGGGGCTGGGCTGTGGCTGCCACTCACCCAGCGCGGCGGACCCTCGGCAAGCTGTCAGCGTCCACTGATCAGCAGCCTCACTTACAGACGAGAAGACAGGCTCAGAGCAGGGGAGTGACTTCCCCAAAGTCCCCGTCCCTGTGCACGGAATCCGGGTTCCTGGCTTAAGCTCTTCTCTGTCCCTTTGCCGGTGCAAACAATGCTCAGATTAAAGTGAAACCACTGCACAGACAGGGCTCAGGAATGACCCTTCCTCAAGTTGCTCGGTTACTTTTGATGCAGTCTGTGCTCTGAACCCCAGCGGAAAACAACGGTCCGCGTCCTTTCCCGATGCGAGCGAGGCCTGGCCTTGTTTGCATTACGTCGTCTTAGAAACGGTTCGGAACAATGAGGCAGCGTTTAAGATCGCCCCACCCAGGATATAAAATGCCAAATGTTTATGGTGAAGAATAATTCGGTTACTCATTTCCTAGAGTGTGCTGCCATTGCAAATCGAATTTCGAGCAAAATCAGTCCTCTTTTAATTGGTTCAAATGAAGCTGTTATTCAAAATTGATTGTTGTTGTTCCTGCAGGGATTCGAGCAAGAGGCAAAACAATAGCGTGATCCTCTCGCTGTTGAAACCGCTGGTAATCCACAGGGCCCAGCGTCCCCGTCCCTGGCAGCACCGCGCAGCGAGGTGGGAGCCGACCGCGGGCAGTGACTTGCGAACGCTCAATAATCGCACGTGCGAGGCGTGCCTGGAGCGGCAGGACAGCGGCTGTCGCCGTGTTGGCTGGGCATGTCCAGGGGCACCTGTGTCAGAGTCCAGCTACGAAGAAGCCTCTTTGGGGAACCGATGGGATAGAGAGTGGCCTCGGGCACCACCTTTGTCACCTGGCACCGGGGTGGGTTTCTCCAACTCAGCGCCTGGAAACCTGACTGAGCCACGTGATCCCCTGAGCTGGTTCCCCTCTCTGGAAAATGGCCTGAGTGGAGCTGCCCACCCCTCCTCCCTCCCACGGCTGCTGTGAAGAGCCAGCGTGACCCTGGAGGTCCCAGGCACAACCACAAGATGGCCTGGTTAGAGAGCTGTGCTCGGGTGGGGTCTGTCCTCGGGCAGGTGTGGCCCAGCTGTGAGTCCATGACCCCCTGCTGGCCCAAGCCAAGTTCTCCCAGGTGGGCAGCCACACGACTTTGGGGACATTGGCCACCTGGGGAGACGAGGGGTTTCTGGGGGCCTGGGGTACAAGGTGGACGGGGGTGGGCTTCCCGGGCCCTCATCAACATGGGCAGGACCAGCCCTGGTTGGAGGCCAGGGGCTGCCTGGATGCACTGCACAGCCAAGGGCTCCGGCCCTGTCCCGGGACAGGAGGACATGTTCAGGTTGAGCTTTTAGCTTCTTCCAGGGTAGCCTGCTTCCAACTGGTCCATCTCACCCCCAGGCCCCACAAAGAGGCCTGCGCACTGTAGGCACTTAATAAACGTTGCAAGAATTTATGTGAACATATCAAAGGCCCAATTCTGCCATGTGGGTGCCTCCAGTCAGGCTGGGGGTGCAGGACAGTGTCTTTAGGCAACCATGCAGAACAGGCATAACAGGAAGGGGGTCGCTGTACCTCGGTTTTCTGTTCCACCTAATGGAGCCAACGGAGCCAGACATCCAGGCCTGGGGCCCCCTGGGAGGTGGCGCTCATGCAGGGCATGCTCCCTGCCTCCTCCTCCGCTCTGCCTAGGCGTGGGGGCCTCCAACACACAGGTACCCCTGTTTTACTTGAAGCATCAGAGATCACCTGGACCCATTTTACTGATGGGCAAAGTGAGGCTTGCAGAAGATAGTCTAGGGCCACTGTCCACTCAGAGCACACAGACGGGGCCACTAGAGCCATCCTCCTCCCAGGTCCCCCGCTGTTCCTCAGAATAATCAGAGACACTGCAGAGGGGAGTGCAGCCATCTACCCCGTGGCCCCTGCATTGAGGAGCAGAGGCCATGGCAGGGCGTGAGGAGTATGTTCTCAAAAGAACCACACAGGCTTCAGGCTGGAGGAAATGGGAAGCTTCCTCACCCCAGCCACCTAGATAGTCCCCAACCCAGGCTGCCCATCTGCCCATCCCTCCAGAGGCAAGGGTCCCTGCCCCCGAGGCAGCCCCACCCAGATGCACATGCCTTGACTTTTGGGAGTTTTCCATTTTAGTTGGTGGGAATCTGCCTCTGTGAATTCACAACACTAGCTCTTGGGTAAACTTCCAAGGAAATTTTGAGGGCTAGCAGAGAGTGAATCCAAATGTGCATGCATGCCACCCCGACTTACTCTCTGTAAACACGTGCTTGTGCCCAAGCTGTCCCCAGTAAAGCCACCAGGAAACACACAGCAAACCTGATGCCAGGAGAAGGCACGACCTTGGGGAGGAGCTGGCCTGGCTGTCAACAGGGCTCAAACCCCAGCAGCCAAGTCTCCTGAGTGGACAGTGACCAGGTGGCCTGAGAAAGCCCTCAGAGGAGGAGTCACCTGGGCATCACAGATGGACATGGTCACCTGGCGTAGAGATGAGTCACTGAGCCTTAGTGCTGGAGCTCCAGTGTCCCCAGAGCTCGGATCTCCTGGACTCTGTGGCAAGGCCATCATACGCTTGCTCCTTGGAGGCCATGGGGGCCATTGGTCTGTCTGACTCTAAGCCCTCATACCCAGGTCCAAGGACAACATGGGGGCGACACAAGAGGAGGAAACAAGGCTGAACCCAGCTCCAGCACTGACCAGCAGGTGCTTTCCCTGTTCGTGGAGACCCAGTCTCCGTAAAACGGGAGCGGTGGCACTGGCCCCACCAGCTGAGGATGTGAGCCTCCTCCCCTGCCACGGCACCGGCTCCCTGGAGGATCCCCCTCCGTGGAACTTAAGGGCCTTTCCTCAGTTTCTCAGAAAAGGTTCCTTAAGTACCTATCATGGTCCTGCAGCCAGGGCAGGGGACAGGGTGGGCACATAGACCCTGCCCTCAGGGAGCTGACAGTCTAGGAAGGGGAGGTGACATCCCTCAGACTGCCACAGATAGACAAGAGCCATGGGGCTCAGAGGACAGGCACAGCCACCTGAGAACACACGTCAGCTGCCTGCCAGCCCCAGCAAGGCCACAGGCTCCTTCCCTCCTCTGGCCCCGATGGTCCTCTGACCACCTTCCAGACAGCAGAGCTTGGCCAGGAGTCGGCTATGCTGGGGGGAACCTGGCCGTCTGGCCAGCGTCACCCAGGCCCAGGGTAGGACTAGGGCTTCCTTAGCCCCATGAAGTTCCCTTCCCTGGACTGACCTGGCCTCAGATGGCTCCTGAGCAACACAAAGCCAAGACAACCAGGAGTCCTGCCCTGAGTTAACCAATCCAGAGCAGGGTTAGGCCTCGGACACAGCACGCAGGTGGTAATTAATGTCGGGGAACGTGTATCCGCGGTGTGGCTGCAGTGGTCATTGGCATTCACCACCCACTGAAGGGCGTCCCACGCAGTGCGCCCTGACCTTCCTCGGGGAGGCACCTGCCCTGCCCCGCTCCGGGGCCCAAGGAGGGGCCCTTCTGAGCTCTGGACCCTGGGGGACCCCCGGCCACAGGGCTGACCAGGAACCTGCCCTGCCCAAGTCTTAACTGGGCTTTTCTCTAAGTTGGAAAACCCAGAGCTGAAGCCGATTCGAACAACAGCCCACCGGGTCCTCGAGGTGTCAGCGGTCATTTCCACGTCTGCTCTTTGGCTTAGCTCTCAGAGAGGATGTATCATTCATTCATTCTTTCACGTGTCCAATTCACTCATTCAAGTAGCACGTGTTCAATGTCAGCTGTGCGTGGACTGCCTCAGGGAAGCACAGAGCTCCAGGGAGATCTCACAACAGTGTAAAGCCCTCCTCTAATTATTGGTGTCATTATGGCCAAAAGAATGCACTTTCATAGTCATTTCTTTAAAAAATATATCTGGGTAGTCCACCACACACCTGGCACCAGGTTAGCAAAACAGGGACACAGCTCTGCCCTCGTGACGTTTGCAGTCCTGTGGGGGACAGGCCGTGGCCACAAAACCACACAAGCAAATGTGACACGGCAAACTGTTGTGTGCCGTGGCCAGGTGGCCTGCCTGGGCTGCGGGCTGCGGCTGGCGAAGGCTGCAGGTGGGCTGCACCTCCTGGTCCGTCTGTCTGTCTTGGCTGCAGAGGCAGCGGCTGGAGCGTGTGCTCTGGGGCAGCCCCTGTGCTGAGCTGCTGGGCTGCCTTGCCGTGTCCTCTCGCAGTTTGGGAGGCCAGGAGTCTGAGATCACGGTGTCGGCAGGGCAGGTTTCTACAAGGCCTCTGTCCTTGGCATGTCGGTGGTGTCCTTTCTCTGTGTCCTCACATGGTCAGCCCTCGGGGACACCAGTCAGATTGGATTAGGGCCCACCCTACGATCTTATTTTAATTTGATTGCCTCTTTAAAGGCCCCGTCTCCAAATCCAGCCGCATTCTGAGGAGCTGGGGTT